ACGATCTCCCAAGGAGTGAAACTCACACCCGAGACCATCAAGAGTGCCTGGTGCCTCTGAACAATCGAATGGGCTCACCCAAGCTTGATACCCGATATCATGAGATTTATTTTCCAAAAGAACACTAAAGGTTGTATCAATCGAAAAGTATGCTCGAACCATATGCATTCAAGTTTGGCTATACTCTGTTTAATTATTTATTGATAAATTGATAAAGTGCTTATAAATTAGTGGTAGGAAGCTTTGCTGTCTTCCAGTCCAATACTACACCTAACCTATCCGGGGCCTTATGTGGTTCGCCAACCCAAGTCCCAGAGATTAGGTTACCGATTTCCATCACTGAACAGCAGGTTCTCGTGACTATGGGGCTTTCCCCGTCTACTGTTCATCACGTGAAAGTGTGTAATAAAAAAAAGTAAATCGCTGATTGATCACAGTATATCCTTGGATCATGGGGTTTACGCCTTCTGCTGTAATCTCTTTCATGTAATAAAATGAAAATGAATAATCTCCGTAAAACTATTATCAAAGGTTCATAGATACAGGCCGATTGTGGATGCTTCAAATTTCTGATCGCTTTTATTCAAAGAAATCGTATCAGTTGTATGCTCACTTAGACGGTTTCATTTACTCATCCATTTTTCTCCATTGTCAGACTGGGAAGCTGTTGTCAAGTTGTCCGATGGGTTCAATGGAGCGGATTTGCGCAATGTCTGTACAGAAGCCGGTATGTCCTTCGGTGTTCTTGTTTCCTTCTTATTATTCCCCATCCCAGATATTTCGAATACATTGATCGTACCACCGAGTACGTAGCCTGCCAAGTTAAAAAGGAAGATTGCGTGCCAGTTTGGGCTGGAACGAACTGCTGTTATGATAGAATGTGTTGTACGAATCGATAGGTTATCCCCGCAGCGCAAAATGGCATGCGCAATATTTTTATTATTGCGCAGTGTAAATAACATTAAAAGTGGAAGTCCCCATAGACAAATAGCGTACCGTTAAAAGGGGAGTTGGAAAACATTCGTGTAAGATCTAGTTTATTGATTCTGCGTTTAAATGATGTAAGGTTGTAAGTTGGGGAAAGGACAAAGTAGGAAGATGTTCCACAACTTGGCAGTTGGGGAAAAAAAGAAGCTTAGAGCAGAGAAGTTCGATATCTGGAACTGAAATCTGATAAGGGGGACTAGATACCTGTGCACGGGATGAGCAGGTAAAAGTCGCAGGAAGAGGAACTGAGATCTGAAGAACAAAAGTATAAAGTACTATTGGTGGAGTATGAACAATGAAGTGATTGCAGACTGTAAGTTAGGGAAGAATCATCGACCGGCCGGGTGGCCTTTCACTGAACACGATCAAGAAGGGAAGGAGAAGAAAACGAAGCCTTACCCCACACGTGACTAGAGTATTTAAGAGCAGGTTGAATTTGAGCTTTGTAAAGTTGAACATGAGCTGTAGTGAAAAAAACGTCTGGCGCGAAATAAAAAGTAACAGTCTTGCGTGCAACACGAGAAGCAAGTTGAGCTATAAAAGAAGCCCAGCATAAAGAAGTTAAAGGCAATCCAAGAAGGTAAACAGAGTCTGTGGAACGCAGTTGGGTGGAATCAAAAGATAAATGAGAGTGGGAAGAATGGTATTTTGAAGACATTGAAATAAGAGATGTTTTACTTTCATTGAATGAAACTTGATCGGTATCGCTTCAAGAGGTGGTGTTGAAGGTCAGAGTCCCGTGACACATTAACTGCACTACGGTCATAATCGAAGTTGGTTTGGGCATGGCGAGCAGTGGAGAGTAGTGTCATCGACAAGGGAATGGATTGGCGGTCTTAGAAAGATCATTGATAAATAGAAAAAGTGGGTGAGTGCAAGTAATGAGCCTCGGGAAACGCCAGCATTCACAGTGAACGGCTGAAATGGAACCCCTTTATCTCGGACGGAGATTGTTCGCTTGTTGAGGAAACTTGATATCCATACCGAAGGGAACCCGATCATAGGCAGTTTCGACAGTAGATCTTCGTACAAAGCTCGATCGAAGGCCTTTGAGATATCAAGCGAGACCAAGTGTTTTCCTCTGGTTATCGAGTGCAACCGATCAGGGTTGTAAAACAAGAGCCACCAAGTCTCCGGTGAAACGACACTGTCGGAAGCCATACTGGCAGTCTCTCAGTAGTCCTCCATGTGCGTAGTTGGTCGGGGATGATGGTTTTAAATACCTTCGAAAGAGCAGATGTGAGAGAAATTAGTTGATCATTGTTGGGGTCAGAAGGGTCGCCGCGTTTGGAAATGGCGTGCTTCTAAGGCGTTGGAAAAATAGAAAGTTGGAGGGAAAGAATGAAAAGATGATGTAGAATAGATGCCAGCTCGGGAGCACACATTTTGAGGGTTATGAATGGAATGCTGTCCGGACCGGATGGTTTATTCGAGTTTGAGAGGGCGCAGTGACCGTTGGAGGCACCTGGGGGAGTTCAAGATATCAATTACACTGGCTTTCGAGCGGATGAGGATTGAGTGGGGCTAAGACTGAGGGTATTCGCCACAATCTTTTCGGGTGATGGTTAGTTTGATTAATATCTCAAAGTTTCCTGTCAAAATTACATTCCACCGATTGTCTGCCTCATTTGAACACTGCTTGCGTTGAAATTCGTCTGGTTTTAAACCTCACTAACCGTATTTTTGTCTACCGTCCAATTCCGAAAGCAGACATCTCAGTAAAGTTACTATCTCTATCTTGCCTGACCTAAAAGCGCCATTGGACTCTTCCTTTCCTTGAAGGGTATGCCGGAGATGTTTTTCTCAGTATTACGATTCCTGTATACTAATAGCCGGAACTGTGAACGGCCCGATCACTTTTTTCGCATGAGCTCACCAGGAAAGGTCGTGCTCATCGTAGCTGTCCTCTTTCTCTTTCGTTTCAACATTGCAGTAGATATGAGTTTGAAATGGTATCGTCTTCATGCAAGGACCGCGCTGTTGATATTCTCCTAGTTGAATGTTGTCTGATCTGGAGTACAAAGATGTCCTTGCACTGTGAAGTGAAGAAGCGAGTTACCGGCTTTTGTGTGGTTTGAGTGATGATGTAGCTATGTTCAACACGAGTTTTGCTCCTTAGAATTTATATAATGTGGTCGCAAGACTGGGTTGGTCCAGCTCACCACCTATTTCTTGCACACGAAAGTGCACGGTTAATGGTTGTCAAAACTGTAACTGACCTCTAACTGGCGGAACAACAGAGAAAGTCGAAAAGGTTTGCTGCTTCCCATCTGAGCAATGCATCACCGATAAAGCATCGAGCGGTGGTGGCCCGGTGGTAAAGTCACCAACTTATCACCCCGGGAGACGTGTGTTTGAATCCCACCACCACCGCCTGACTTTCCCCGTTGTGCAATGTATGGCAGCCATTGAATCGGCCGCTTTCCCTCTTCTTGAAAAGCGCATCATTGTTTATTCAATAAAAGGAAGTAACAACGAAAAAGAAAGCTCGGTCGGAGTTTGCCAGCTTGAAACGCCTTTGGTACAGTCGCGGAATTCCGTTGTCCGTGTAAAGTCAAGTGTTTGCTAGAGTATTTCCCCCTAGTACATTACTATATAGTGTGGGTACATCGCCGTTACTAGAGGAAGACAATGAATATCCATTGACGTTCCCACGTCGCTGTGTATATCGTGTTGCACGAGTCTGTTATTACAACAGTGTAGGCAACACTCAGGCAGGATGCAGAGTTTTAGGTAATCCCCATGGTTCACTACCATTAGTGTATGACCTCCGAAAATTGAGATAGCTGGTCTCATGTCACCAATTGGGTTTACCCGCCGTGCGACGTTTGACGATGCAGGTG